AATGTGAGAATACATGTGTCATACATTTCTATAGTGTTTAAGGTGCAGGGTCAAAGATTATCCAAAGTGCGCGACGATTGTTCACGCTGAACGTGTTCAATGATGCGTATAATCTACGCGATAAATTCTACGTAAATGCCGAGTGCTTCAGGAATTAATATTAAACATTTTATCGGATCGTTCTTTTATTTTGCGATATTTCATAGTCACGCATGGGAAATTAATTATGAGTAACTGTACATAAGTGCACGACGCTTCGAGAATGAATATTAAATGCTCCGTTGGATCGTTTCATGTTCCACTTGTCCTACAATACTGGTTAGAATCACAAGGTGATTTTGTATGAAAAGATAAGGAAGAGATCCTTCTCCGTTGGAGGAGCTTCGTCCTCGAGAAAATCAAGTATACGAAAATTTGTTTGGTTACACGTGAATTTGGTTAATTAATTACCGTCCGCGTACGAATAAATAATGCGAGGATAAGTGAAAGAATGATTGCGTTTAAGTTGTTTTCCAGAAAGAATTGGCTTGGCCAATGCGCGTGCCTGATAAATATTCAAATTTAATTTCCTTGGAAACGAGATAATTCGGCGAAGAAATATTTCCGCCTTATTTTTACGTGTAAAAATAATAAGATTGTTAATTCCTCTTCAATTCAGGCATAGAAGATGTGTATTAAAATATTTTACAGCCGCACAATGAAGAATTGAACGATCATTATTAGCTTCCGTTTATATGTAAATTCGAAAGAATAGAACTCGTGCGTATGTGTATTCTTTCGTTATATGCTATACACTCTTAGTGAGAATTTATTAATTTTGCTTTGCTCTGCCGGGGGAACAACACGTCTGTTCGTATATTTCTTCGAAAACTAAGAATATCACAATTGTAATTTTCATTTCTAAGTGTAATTGATTAATTATAACGAACAGTGTGTATCTAACTTAGTAATCAATAAATTTCAAAAGCAACAAGGTTCGTCGTTCACAAATCTTATTGCTTTTGAAGTTTTGACATGTATCGAAATGTTCGAACATATATAGTATAGATATGATCTACGTTACTAAGTTCGTACTTTACAGTGGTAACAGGTGACATTTACATTTGTTCTAATACCATTCCTTCTTCCGCATCCATTTCAACGATTGAAGTCGCTCGCATCATGCAGAATGCGGATCATGCATTGTCCGCGTGTAACGGAGCTAAATAGGTTAATATGCACATCCGTATCGTGGCTCGCGTTATGTCACCGATGCCAGTCTAATTGAATAGGCCGAGCTCTCTAACCGGTGTCTCGAGATTCCTCTCGAAAACCAACCATCGAGTGGTTCATCATTGCTCGAAGAAGAACGAAGTTGGCGCGAAAAAGATCTGCGCGCGTGCGCAACGAGCCCAGCTGAAAAATGGTCGATCGATCTCTAAGTGCACTGCCGTTTCGTCCGGGGAAAATAACAGGGGGAGGGGAATCGAGAGAGATATCGTTCGTGCAATGCAAGGCCAAAACAACGCAGTACAAATACGATTACTACGTTACCTAACACTTTCACGAGCTGTGAACCTCGTGACAGGAAGGATTCGAGATCGTCGTCATTGGAATTCCAATTCGAGCCGACTCGACGTTTAAACGGTACGAACGATTTTCATATCTCACGGAGTGCCTGTGTAACGAGTATCGAGTAAAAAGTTCCGTACCGAGAGAGCTAGACACACAGGTAGGTGGAGATAGAGGTACATAATACGTACGTAACGCGTGGTCGACCTTCGTTAAGCGTACCGATCGAACCATCGAACAAGGTGTTCGCGATAGCGAAACGATCGTGCTGCTGCGTTATGGTTGCACTTGGCAGAGACACAGCATTGTCTTTGTACCGGGGAATTGCATTAGCTGCAGTAGCGTGTTAATTTGTCAAACGTGTGTTGACAATGATGCACGTTTCTTTCTGTTGCTTTGTATCGAGAAATAGTCTCCAATACAACTCATTATGAATGTAATTAATATATTCGTTAACCTTTCGCGTTCGGAACAATTTTTAATATAACCTATCAGCAACTCCGGGTCATTTTTACTATCGGCTACCAGCTACTCCAGACTATTTACAAAGGATTTGTCATTAAAAAAAATGTGAATACATTTTTAAAAATATGTTTTATTAATACAGTATAATAAAAAAAATTACTTTTTGAATTTCTTCATTTTATGGTAAAAAATGATAATAATTTTAACACAATTATTTATACAAACTAACAGCATAGGCTTCCAAGAAAAATTAAAGGATATTTAAATTCAATATATAAAGTATTTAAATTCGAAAAAAAATTTTTTTTTTTTATGTCGCTGCTGAGGCGACAACGGAGTAGTAGCTCATCTTGCAATGTCGCCTCTGCGGCGACTGCGGAGTGCAAAGGGTTAATATTTGTTTCCTCGTCTGTTGATATTTAATCCTCGAACAGGAGGGATAGTTTTATACTCGAGCTAAGTGTCTGTTTCAACAGACAAACGATATTAATATTATCATTCTAAAAAATATTCACGTTTCCGAATTTGAATAGATTCAGAACCTCAGAGTGCGGATAATTCGAACGTTGAATTTAATTCGTGGACGAATTATGGATTCCTAGTCTAGTGACGAGTATGCATATGTATGTGTATCAACAAGTGGTTAAGTAAGTGACCGCCCAAATTCATCGGTACAATGATCGATAGTCGATTTCGATCCCTTTCGAAAACTCTTTATCTAAACGCTTACGTAACGCGTAGCATCGATTTCATCGCGCGCTACGCGTTTCAAACAGCCTCGAACAATCGATTCTCGCGTCGTGTCGTTCCGTGTCGCAATACGACGTTGCGTGTTATGGCTGCCGCGAGCGCGAACGGGAAACGGACGTAGGAAGAGTACTCGCTGAGTCGCCGTTACGCGGCGTATTTCAATTTTTTCCTTTTTTCTTTTTTTTTTTTTTAACATCAGCAAGCAACGACGGAGTGAAGGTAAACTGAATACTAATATAACGAACGATAGACAACGATTCGAAGTAGTATTTTTAAATGTGTAAAAACGAAAGAGACAGTAAACGTAATTCCATTGAATTACGAAATTTCGTTAAAAAAAGCCAGTTCTTTGAATTTTCAACCAACCCGTTGAATTTTAACATAGCGAGTGAGTCTTTCTTCTTTATTTTTGAATAAACTGTGACGCGTCTTCTAGGTATATCACTCGATGCTGATAAGGAGGATACCTGCGAGCGTTGATTTCTCCGAAGCGGAAGAAATAGAAAGATAACTATTCCGCGACAGTAGCGTCTGATTTAATGCCCGAGTCGAACGGCATATCGAGTCGTTTTACGATCGTTTACAACCTTTCTATCGCTGTTGAATTTGTATTCGACACCGTGATTATTTACGGCCTGTGAAAGCTTAATAATTGAATAGTTGATGTTACGATATACGTTTGTTAGAGCAGAGAAACGTTAACAGTCCGAGCTTTTATTGCAACGATTATGTATTTCAGCGGCAGATATAAACATTCGGGGGTTATTCAATAGAGCGATAGCGACAGAAATAGAGTGATTTTCGTTAGGCAAACGTCCAACGTTTCGCGGGCCTAGTTTCAGCGAAACGGATGAGCCAAAGGAAACGCGAGAGGTCGATGCACGTTTAAACTTTTGCTTCCCTGACACGGTACGGATATACCGCTATTCGGTCCAAGTTGCAAGACAGCCGCTAGCTTCTACTCTGTAGTAGTACTCCTCTAGTATTAAGACGCCTTCAATGTTTCCGCCATTTTGAGCCGCTCGCGATTCAACGTATTCATTGTTTCACGGTGCATACAACGGAATGTGTGTGTCGTGTGTAAAAAAAGAAAGAGAAAAATCTTCAATTAACACGAGCGGAAAGAATTCACGTTTTCTATTTAACAAGCGACATTGAACATCAGTTTTCGCATGCTTCCGAGCATTACTCAAACGATGGGATCGAGATTGCTCGAAGGTCAAGGTCAAGGTCAGAAAAGAATGTTACAAAGTGATTCTGCTGATGTTATTAACAATTAAAGAACAATTCAACACGTGTACTAGTTTTTTAAAATTTAATATGCATAATTTTCCCATCTCAGCAGTAAAAATGTATTGACAACAAGCAACGTTTCTCATCTTGAGATGAGTTCAGAAATACATTTTGTTTGAAAATAAATAATATAAAATCAAGATGTTAAGATTGAGAAATGAATTAAAGATTCTATGTAATTATATTTATTTAGTAGTGAGCTAGCAGTTTACGAAGAAAAAGGAAGAATTCAGTCTCGTATAAGACAGTCTTCCAACACGACGTAACTTCAGCTCGATTCAATTCAGCTTAAATTACACACGTACATGGTAGTTACGGTAGGTTAGCAATCGGCAGAAATATCTGGTATGAAAAGCGAATCGTTATGTTGGCAACACGTCACGGGGGGTTTCGTTTCGCGTTTGATTTCGCGCGGGTGACCAAACTCTGACGTTGCGCAGCGCCGCCCGGAACCGGTTTCCCTCTACGAGCTAACGTCCGGTGACATTAACTACCGCGCTTTCGGATCGTGCGCCTCGTAACTACATAAGTACGTGACGAACGTTCTCTGCGTCAGTACACTTTTTCCCTGATGAAACTGATTGCCGTGTAACTCGCGACATTCCTGCGAAGTGTAAGAAGACAATTATCAATCAGTATAACATTATATCGCCGATAGAACTTTTGACGATAATTGAAATTCAACTTTTTTAACACACACACACACACACATATACAGATTACAAAGTGGTCTTGAAAATGTATAAAAAAAACAATCGATTTTTAAAGTACACATATTGATTAATCTTTGTACTGCATGATTATATGAACGACGATGCATAGCAAACTTGAACT